TCCCTAGGGGATTAAGACTTAAATATTGCTTTCTTTACTTATTTTCGGTGAGGTTTATGGTTGTTTAAAGCTTGTGAAATTGTATGTATTCTGCTAATCTGCGAAACTGGCTAATTGAGGTGTTCCTGCAGCAGTTCCCTAACTGCATGCTTGTTTTTTCCATGTATACGTTTGGCGTATCCGGCCCTGCCGTCCGTTGCATGTGCTCGCTCCTTTTGTCTGGGGCTGCTCTCTGTATTGTTTTGTGCTTCCAGATAGCGGTGGGTGCGCTCGCAAACGTGCTGCCATGTCTGTCACATTAACAGCTGTGAAGAGGGTTCAGAGTTCTCCAAACCTATTGGCCTCAGGTATAACCCGCTAACCCAGGGAAATGCTCCTCCTCCCGCCTGCCTTCTCTCTAGCCTTACACCTTCCTGCAATGTTGCTCCCCAAGGAGGACGAGGGTAACCCTATTTTCTAGCCCACTGACAGGTCTGTTACTTCTACAATGCTCTTTAAAAACCAATCTTAATTTCTCTCTGCCTGTGCTTAGTAGCTGTTAATGAAAAAAAAAAAAAAAAGAGATATAATGCTCTTTAAAAACCAATCTTAATCTCTGCCTGTGCTTAGTAGCCATTAATGGAAAAAAAAAATTAAGGAGACAGGAAAAATCAGTTATTTATAAATTTATTTTATCTTTGCTATGTATTTTGGGTCTCATCTCCACTGTTTTATTTCAGGATAACATAGCATGAAAAATAGCCTTTTTTAATCTCAAACTTTGTTTACTGCAACTGGCTTTCCTTTGCTATATATTTTGGGTCTCCACTGTTTTATTTCAAGATAACATAGCATGAAAAATAGCCTTTGTTTATCTCAAACTTTGTTTACTGCAACTGGCTTTAAAAGCTCATCTCAAACGAAAAGAATCTGAATGTTGCAAAACGATCACCAGAAGCCATCTATCAAGCATGTTTTCTTAAAAATGTTTAAAAAAATAAAAACATGCAGAATATTCAGTAGACAGGAGGACCCCTTCATAGCAATACTTATGCCTGGGTTTGCACCATGAAATCGTGCTGGATAATCCCTTCATAGCACCTGGGTTTGCACCATGAAATCGTGCTGGATATCAGCTGCCCGGGTTCACTGGTGAATCAAGGAGCTGGAGGTAAAAATCAGTAAAGAATCTTGAGTGGTGTAGCCTAATTTACACCCGGCTGCACACGCAGCGTTCACACCAAAAAGCGTCATACAGGGAGCTGAATAAAGAATGAGCCAGAAAACAATTGCAAGGTGAAGTCTTTGTTTTGTAAATCTTTTCAAATATAAGACTAATCCCCAGGAATTAGAGCTGATAAAATTTATGAAGCAAATTAAAAATCTGATGCTACTCTTTGTAAGGATAGAGGAAAGGTTACTGGGATTATTAAGTGTATGCAAATTTAAGAAAACGTTGGATTCTTATTTCTTAGAAACCTTTCTAATAAATTCTTATCATTTAAGCATGCAATACAAGCCTCTTAATGTCTTGCTTTGTTGCACTTAAAGTAAATGATAAGGAGCACTCTTAGTACTATAATTATTATGCATTAAAAATATTTTAAATTTCATTAGAGATGTAATTTTACTTTCTGTAGGAGAAAAACCACTAATATATCTACAAGTAAGCCAAGACACCACCAGAATTTCAGATCTGGTCTGTGCTGGCAGTCTCTATGTATCAGTTTCTGTGTTTTGCTTTGAAGTGATGAAGAAAGCATCACACATTCTGCTGTGGAGGGGGAGGGAAAATCCTGACAGCATCTCTAGGCATCTTTCTTGGGTTTGAATTAAACCTTTCCAGCACATCTTAAAGGACTGGTATTTCTTTTGATATCTAGATTTTAGATGGTAGTATATCACAGTATTTGCTGGAAAAAACCCACAGCAGATGTTTGTTGATTATTAGCTGTCTGAAGTTGCAGTGATTAAATACCAGTAACTCTCAGAACACTATAACCTTCTGTAGAAGTTGTGCAATAAATGTTGCACAGTTATTAGCTATGGTCTAATATTCTGAGGTGGGCTTAGGTAACAGGAAGGAATTAATTAACTGAGCAAAAAGACTCCTGTATATTTTTTAAGTTGTGTCATCGTGTTTTTATTTCTAACACAAATTAATATTGGATGTTTCTTTTTCAGGGTCTGATTCCCAGTCTCCAGATTCAGGTAAATAAAACAGAGTGTTATTTATGCATCAGTGTAATGCCATGTAAGTGGCTGTATTATAACAATCTTTGATTTATTTGATTTCATTATGCCATACGTCCGCACTCTTTAAGGAAAGCACCACTGAAATTCAAAGCCCACTTGAACACGTTCCTGTGCAACCTGCTCTAGATGGACCTGCTTTGGCAGGGGGTTGGGCTTGATGATCTCCAGAGGTCCCTTCCAACCCCATAGCATTCTGTGATTCTGTGAAATTGTAATAATAATTGCAAGTGTCTAAGACCTCAAATTCAGGTCTCATTTGAAAGCAGTATTTCCTGTAACACGGTATATGTTGTCAGAAAATGAATTGTGTGGGAGAATCCAGGCTGTTAATTTGCCACCTTTAGCTTCACTGGCAATTGCTATGTCATTTTTAGTCCCTCACTCAGGATTGCAAGTTCTGCCCACCCCACTTAGCAGCCTGCTCACATACTGTGTTACTTTTCCTGGCCTCTTGCACTGTTTTGTCATCAAATCTGTAACTTGTTGAGGTGGGATAGTATCCCCTGCTATGTTTGGACAATCACTTGAGGGCTTTCCAGCTCTGAGGACAGAGACAAAGCATGGTTGGTTGGTTGGAAAATTGAGGTGTCCTTCAGATTTGGAACTCAGATGCATTATTGGAACAACTAATGGAGTATTGTGGTGAAGTGTGGTGAACAACTAATTTTACATGAGCTGGAATGTTTTTCAAAATCCAACGTGGCTGTGAAGTCCAAGAACTGAATCTGTGGAAGAACTTCAGCCTGTTTTATACAGGGGTTGAAGCACCATCTCAAAGGGCTCCCAAGTTTAAAACCCATAGTCTGTATGAATGCCATGGGGAGACATCAAACTGCTACCAGCACTATTGTCACTGTTTGAGTTTTCTAAATTTTAAAGACAAATATTGGGTGAGGTGCCAGCTTTAGCCCTGTTCTTATAACTGCCATGGTGATAGCAGCGGCAGTGTTAGTTGTGTAGTAGCTAAACTTATCCACGGAGTATTGTGGTGAAGTGTGGTGAACAACTAATTTTACATGAGCTGGAATGTTTTTCAAAATCCAACGTGGCTGTGAAGTCCAAGAACTGAATCTGTGGAAGAACTTCAGCCTGTTTTATACAGGGGTTGAAGCACCATCTCAAAGGGCTCCCAAGTTTAAAACCCATAGTCTGTATGAATGCCATGGGGAGACATCAAACTGCTACCAGCACTATTGTCACTGTTTGAGTTTTCTAAATTTTAAAGACAAATATTGGGTGAGGTGCCAGCTTTAGCCCTGTTCTTATAACTGCCATGGTGATAGCAGCGGCAGTGTTAGTTGTGTAGTAGCTAAACTTATCCACAGTTTGTTTAAAGGCTGGGTTGCTGTGATGATAGCAATGTACAGATCTGCTAATCACAAGAAAAAACTCTTTGGATTCTTTTTTCCTCACAAAAGCTTGGAGATCTTACAATGATGGAAGCAGAGAGGCACTGAATGGAGATGCTGGCAGTTCATCTCTTACAGCAAAAGGTTTTAGGAGCGTGCGGCCAAACCTCCAGGATAAAAAATCACCAACTCAGGTAAAATTGAACACACCAAGTTTCCGTTTAATGGCTGGGTTGCTGTGATGATAGCAATATACAGATCTGCTAATCACAAGAAAAAAACTGTTTGGATTCTTTTTTCCTCACAAAAGCTTGGAGATCTTACAATGATGGAAGCAGAGAGGCACTGAATGGAGATGCTGGCAGTTCATCTCTTACAGCAAAAGGTTTTAGGAGCGTGCGGCCAAACCTCCAGGATAAAAAATCACCAACTCAGGTAAAATTGAACACACCAAGTTTCATGCTTTGGCATCTGTGTGGGGGCTGTTCTTGGGGGATAGCATATAGAGACGGGATAGCTCTGTGGAACATTATCCTGATGTCTTCCAGATAGTCAAAATATCTTTTCATATGGGTCGTTACAAACTGGTTTAATGCATAGATAAAATATGCTCCACACAGGATGCATGCCTCCAGGTTAATTGCCAGAAATTGCTTTCAATGAACAAGACAGCCAGATAAATGAAAGTAGGTCATACACAAATAAAAGCTTTCTAGGCGTGTTCCTAGACTTCAAAGAATATTTATTAATATTTTACACTCGGAGAAATGCATTGGTCATCAAAATAATATCTGAGGATAAAGGTTTATTAATTATAAGGTAGACAATGTTTCTGCCTGTTTTGCAGGACAATATAATTAGAGCACACTAAAAACCCCCAACACTTAACTTGGAAACATATTTATCTGTGGAAAAAAGAACAACATACCAATGTCAATACTGTCTCTGTTACTATTTTAATTCAAAGGTTTAAGAGGCTCTGTGTTATATCTATGTATGTTACGTGGGAATAATAGCTTGTTACCTAAGATCATGGAGTACATTTTGGAAATTACTTACATTTGTGAACAATTTCACAGGATTAATTTTTATTCAGTATAATAATTGTTTTTTTAAAAGAAAATGGACTATTGTGGGCTCCCTTCTGATTCCAGTTTACTCTGAACAAATGGAAGATCTGGCTTTCTAAACACAAGCTGTACAGCCCTGCACAGCTAAAGGTGGTGGGAACCTGACCAGTTCAGTTGTCCGTTGAATTGAGCCATGTTGGGATGAAGCCCCTTAAGTTGCTAGTTCCTTTATTTAAAGATAAAAGACAAAACTGAGTTATATCTCTTGCTAACATATACTTTCTTTCTGTTTCTTCTTCAATGTTATTTTGCTGTGTGTGGATGCTTTTGGCAAATAAGGCACCTCTGCCACCCCCTAGAAAAGAAAGTTTTCGGAAAGCGAGAGTAACTAATCCCAAGAACGAAATTAATCACCAGGCAGTAACAACCGGTCCAGCTAAACACCTTCCCACAGATACTGCCTCTTACACTAACGAGGACTCTGTCCAGAAGACAATGTCTTTTCAAATATCTAACACGAGTGTGTCCTATGCACAAAAAATCACTAAACCACTGACCTCTGTCTCCAGTGCGGGCACAAGCACGGTAGCTGGTATTAGCACTACTCTCCATCAAGGCCAAAGGCAACAGTCTCAAAAACGTAGGGTATCTACCCTGAAATTAACCCGGGCACGCGACCCAGCGAGTAGCGTTCGTTGTAATACCCAACAACAGCCCAAGCCTGTTGAAGTGCCAGTGTTTCCACAAAGGCCTGTCTCACCTGCCTGTAACCCCGTGCCTGAGAAACACACAGCATCTCTTTCCGTTCAGATAGCTCCCATCCCTGACAATAAAGCAGAGCCTGAAACCCAAGAACATCCACCTAGTGTTTCTCCAGACACTTCAAAGATGGCTTCAAAGGAGTTGGGACAAAAGTCTACAGTTCTTCCTTCTTCACAGGCTGCAGAATGCCATGTGGTATATTTAATTTTTCCGTCTTTTATTTTAGATCATTCATGAATCACTTAATAACTCTCTGTTTAGTTATACTTACTTTATCAAAGTTAGACTTTGTGTTTTCTGGGTAAAACTACCTGTTACATGGATCAAAACAGAACTGAACAAAACCTATAGTGTTTGGAAGGGCATTGGAAAAAAAAAAAAAACAAAATCTAGCTGAGCTGGAAGGTAAACTTCTTTGTTCCTCTGTGAGCACTTTATGGAGTGCAAATGCAGATTAGGAAATTAGGGAATTGTAGGTGATGCATCTGCTTAAGTGGCTCTTTCTAGAGCAGGTTGCATTAAAGCATTATGCTGCCATAGGGGCTGGAAGGGTCAAGTATGGATAGAAAAGGGTTGGGTTGAGGGACTTTATACAAATGCAGCTTTGCCAGTTTGCTGGGGTCACCAAAAAGTGTATTTTCTCAGTCAGTGCTTTCTGCAAGGCCAGTCACCTCTGTCTCCTGTGTGTCCTGTACAATAGTGTTTCTTAAAGAAAATGGGTTGATAAAATCTTTTATCAACCACCTTTACACAAAGAATCATAAGGCACTGAACTTTTATGTCCCTCTGTTTCCCCTATACCTACTGAGATGAAAATTCTTTATCTATACTGAGCTCACGTAGGAGAAATGGGAGTATCAAGCATGCAGTATAGGACCAGGGGAGTCTGAACAGGGTTCATCTCCATTCAGGAAGTTACTGGGTCAAATAAAATAAGCCTGGGAGCAATAAAGCAGCATTGAATGCATACAGGGCTAAAGGAGAGAATACTTTGTTGTTTCTACTTTGCTTTAACTAGAAGTTAAAGTAGATTAAAAAAAAAAATTAAGACTTTTCTATTCTATACTGGCTTCTCTGAGAGTGGAAGCCCTTCAGTGGGAGGTAGGGATTGCTATAGGTCTAGGCATATCTGCTTCAAAGCTTTATCTGAGCAAGGATCCCATCATGGCCTATTTGTGTTAATCTAGTTCTGCTGAAATCAGTGGGAGTACTCTGAAGTAAATATGACATAATTATAATAATTCAAGCAAACTTGGATTCCATTGACAGCCCAGTTGTCGATAGTAGTAACGTATCTGCTCGCTCAGGCTGTGGTTCTGTCAAAGCATCACATTCAACCAAGTCATTCCTTTGGAAACCACAAGACCCTGCATTGGCTACAGGATAATTTACAAGTTGTAATGTGTCAATTCCCCACTTCAACCCCCAAGTGAAAGTTTTGATCAGAACAAAGCTCTCTGAAATTACATGGCAATGATTTGCAGTGCTCTCTTTGAATTCACTCCATTAACAAATGGTAGCTCAGAATTGATGACATTTTTCCTTCTCAAGATTAGAGACAAAATTATGATCTTAAACCCTTCTATTAGGCTACGTAAAATTTAAAAAGTTTTCAGAAAACAAGTTGCTTTACTCTTCAGAAGAACAAGTTGTGTACTTAGTGATTTCTATCACGTAGAACGAGTCAGTTCAAACAAGAGCCACAGCAAAGAAATCATGTCAGAAACAGCAATGAAAGCTGAGAAAGAGTGGCTACAGATTTTAGGAGTCAGGCTTTTTAAATATGGGAATCAAGGGATACGGTCAACAGTAGAACAGGTGTAGGTGTGGCCATTACAACTTATGCAGTGTTTTCTTTTCACTGAAAAGTAGTTGTTCAGCCTGTTAGCAGTATGGTGCATTAGATATGCTCAGATAAATCAAAGCATCTCTCAAACAGAAAGTAGTTTTATTATAGCTACCAAGAATTAGGGGAAATACCTTTATTATGATCCAAAATAATAAATTCTGATTAGAATGACTAAAAGTAATTTATCTTCTAGCTACCTTTTTTTAGAATTTTAAAAGTAAAAACACATTTTTCAATTTCTTTTGATTTTAGATTCTGTTTTAGTTTCAGTATGAGCTGACAAAAGTCAGAAAAGTAGCTGTGACTTGTTTGGCAGTTCTATACTTATTTTTCTGCCTTCTCCTTGGTTTCAGTGTGTAGGAAGAATGATCGGAAATTTGGCAACTGGGTTTCTTTGAATAAAATGATAAAAATTTCAGTTGATTGCAGGGATCACTAAGGAATGTAGCCAGCTTTTCAAACTGCATCCTTTTATTGATCTCTTGCCTGCAAAATTCAGCTGACATCCTCCCTGATGTTCAGCTTTGAAATAAATTCTAAGCATTAGTATGAAGAGGTGTATCTGGCATCACAATCGAGTCATAGAGCCAGAGGGTTTTGCTAGCTCTGTGTTAAAATACATCCCTAAAACTAGAGTACAGAGCAGCACATGAGGTGGTGTAAAAATTCTGCATGAGGTGAGGTCCAAAAGCCAAGATGCCAGGGGCTATAGGTAGGAATAAAGGCTACAGTTATATGTCTAAAAAGCTTTCTTTCCTGACTCAGATCTCTGGTTGAAACCTTGGAACCGTTCTGTCTGATGCTAAATGTTAGGATCCCCGTTAGCGCTTTATCTCATGGTATTTGCAAAGCTCACAGTTTCTCTCACATGGAGAAATTAGCTTTCAGTACACTGTGCATGGTAGTACTTTCATTTTTAAAATTGTTTTAGATTTGCAAGCTCTACAGGATTTTGTACAGCAGTTAAAATACTTTTGTATCTGCAGATCATGGGTTGGTTTTTTTACGCTGTGTCCTCTAGGGATGCTCTCAGGCTGTAGATGAGGCCCAACAGCAATGTTCAAAGCTACCACAGAAACTCTCAAAAGCCAAAGACATTTCTAAAGGTGACGTAAAAACAAACAACTCTCCCTCCACATCTGGGTTTATGGATGTGGAGGAGAATGAGGTAAGATTGGCCAACCATCACTTCTTCAGAGGTGATGAATGAGAAATACCGTGTATGGGTGGGTACCTATGTGTGTAGGGAACATGTACAACTATATTATGTCACCAAGTGTGGAAAAGTACAGTTGAGAGAGAGCTTGTACGGTCTGAGTTCATGCACAACACTTTTGCAGTGTTTTTTAATCTATCTCGTTATGTTTGTGCTCCTATTTGCACTTCATTTCAGAGAGTATCTGCTGAAACTTGAGGTGCAAGCAGAAGTGTGGTGTGACTCACCAAGTGACATTTTGTAAACACTCCTACTCAGAGAAAGGTTAAACCCCTTAAAAGTATATATGAAAAGAGAAGCATTCACGTTACTCAATATTATGGGGTTTTTTTACATTATTACAGTCTCAAGAGATGCTGCTACTCTGTACCATACTGCAGATATGGGAGAAATAATCTATTTCAACAGAGAAATTAGTATTTTTTAGTATGAGACTGATTTGACATAATTTACTGGAGGTAAATTACGTTGTCCAAATTTCTTATAAGTTCTAAACTGATGAAGAAACAAACTTCTGAAACAGATCTTTTGAAACAGAAGTAGTATTTTTATGTTCATTCTGTTCCTGGGCTCATAAGTGTCCTCTTGCTCTAGACACCCCTCTCTAAAACCAAGGATGCAAAACATTTGTCCTGTTTATTTGAATTCCATGATGAGTGAACGCTTGGTGTAGTCCTGGTGTCCTGGAGGAATAAATACTCCTATACTAGATGTTCATGAAAGCGTTTCTTTGGCCTTATAGCTGTAGACAAGTGAATCAAGGAAAATAAGCCTGGAATTAAAAAAAATGTTTCTGAATCGCTTTATCTAATACCTTACTGCTTGTTAGGTATTGAGAATACGTTGGGTGATGTAGAAGGGAGAGAAGACAGGGTTCAGTGTTTGGGGACAGATGGCAAAGAAAATTGAACACATAATTTCCATTTTAAGTTCTGTATCACCAATGTGGTTTTGCACAAGGGCTGAGCTCCGCCTCCTTATACTGAGTTTAGAATAAGAGGGCTACAAGGTAAAAACGGGCATGGGGACATCACTTGCAGCATCAGTTTGGAGATTTTGACATCAGCTTTTAACAATTAAAAATAGAGGTATTTTTACCCATTTGTGCAAGCGTATGGGTGTAATTTGATTGTTGATTACTAAACTCTGCTATGTATTAACACAATGAGTTGATTCACTTATCTCTGAGTCTCCTTATCTGTGTCTTGACTGTCGAAGCAAGGCCAGCACTTTGGTGTCGTTGGCCATCTCACACCACTGCCCACAGATCTTGCATTAAAACGTTAGGTGACTGGTTTTGGAGCCTGTACTGGGGTCATACGTCTGCTTCATGAGAATTGGGTAGGAACTGTGCTCTTCAGGCCCGACATTTTCCTGTGTGATGGAAGGTGAACATTCCTAAGGGCCAGCAGAAAGCTGCGCTTGAGACCTTCGATTCACTTCAAGGCTGTGATGACATTTATCTCCCTCTCTCAAGCGTTGCTCCACAACTCAAGATAATTATGTAGCCTAACTAGTTTTTCCTCATTCTAATTGATTAAGGACTTGTTTGGCATTTAATCCGCCTGACTTCTGCTAGTGTTTCTTGTGCTATAATAATAACAAACCTAATCTGAAACACGCTGGAATGTGTTCAGCCTTGTCCTTCTCTTTTTTTTTTCACAGTGATGAAAAATATGGATTGGTAGTAGCCAAACAATCCTATTTAGAGTTAACCAACACTCCATGCTTTTTAAATGGTGTCATCAATTTTTGAAAATAATGCTGTTTTAAATCACCATTTCAGCCACTCTTTCCCCGAGTGATGGTTGTACCTGTGACAGAATTCTAGAAGCAGGCAGAATATCCAAGTTTTATTCTACAAAGCTGAGAATCTTCACGTTGGGAATCAGTACCTAGAATTGCTGCATTCCTTCTACCCATGTTGTAAGAATGATAATTTTATATCCTATTTAAGAATTTGGCTTGGTGAAATCAGCTTTATTTGCCAAACACAACAAATTTAATTCTTTAAGAACTCAATTTTACTAGCTCTCTGGATGCACCCTGAGTATCTGTTCTTGTGTTGTCCATCACTTCTTTTCTCAAGCATGCAGGCAATCTTCTCAGTTCGAAACTGAGAAACAGGTTTCTCAAGTCTCGAACGTTTCCTGTTATTGTAACTATTTGGAGATCAATTTACATCTTTTGGCTCAGGCATATGTCACTTTTCTTCTGGGGATGCTGAGAGGTGATCTGGTCTCAAGAACTTCAGAGCTTCATATTGGCTCTGACTCATAATTGCACAATGATCTCCTGGTTCATGTCTTTTGCTGGAGATCTTGAATTATGACATGGATGATGAAATTCACCATGGATAATGATTGTGTCTTTCCTTATGTGTCTTTGAGGTGAAATTACTGTTTCTTATATGTGTATGTCAATACACATATCTGAAACCCTTGACACACTGTGCTGTATGTCAAGCCGGCTGTTTCACATCTGCATCTGATTGCTTTTCATTAAATTATTTTAATAGTATTCCATTGCTCTTTTGAAGTTTCCATTGGCAATTTATTTATCTCTAAAAATCAAATCTCCTTTTATAGCCATACAATCAATTATTGATTTTGTGATTAAGAAGTAATTTGTTCAGATTTAATCTATCTTTCCTTTTCCGATTGTAGATTTGAAACATTGCTGTGAATAAGATTTGGATTTTAAGCTGGTTGATTAAGTTGCTTCACTGTTTTAATTGCAGATTTTAACAGCATCTTCTAGCTATTTTTGTGTACCCTGGAGGTCCAGTAATGCCAAAGAGTTCTTTGGAACCATTTGGAACAAATGATGGATATCTGTTCACATGCTTAAGATTCTTTTCTGAAATGCTTATTCATAGGGATAGTCCCACTGACCTCAGTAAGGTTATTTGTGTAAATTCTAGTTGATCTCAGTAAGAATTATGGAACTGGACCCCCAGTGACCTCTCATAAGTAGCACAATCTGGGTTGTGTTCCAAGTCTTCCATAAGGTCTTTAGAAGATATTTTCAGATTTTGGATTAAAATGCCAAAGTGGCATTTTAATCTGATGGTTTTAAATATTTTTTGAATGATTAGCGTTAAAGACATCTGCCTATTCTGAGCATAGGAAATAACCATAATATTATTGGTAACAGTGTGATATCTATGAGTAAATGTTGCTTTTTAAAATATTAATTACTGGATATGGTATCTTATTGTCCTCTATTTACATAGCAGCTATTCTAGAGTTCCTCAGCCCTATCAAAAGTGAGCCCACGAGTGCTGGGATAGGCAGTATTTTGACGTACTTCAGGAATTGGCTGAAAGCTTGTGGCCAGTAGGCAGTATAGAGGGATTGGTGCAGCTGTTTAACAAATATTGGATGCCAACATGCTTTTCATGTATCTTTATTCAAAAAGAAGCTGAAGATGCAAAAAGCCAGTGTCAGGACTAATTTAAACCCAGTGTCTTTTGTCTGATTCGAAATAACAGAGCATAAAGCCCATACATTGTGTGGTGGTTTTCAGAAGCACTTTCATAAGCACGTTCCCTTATAATTTTAAGGAATTATACTGAAGCCAAACAACTACTGTGTTTTGTTTCAGTACAAGTCATCCCTGTCCTGTTCTTGTGCTCCCAATCCTTGTTGTTCCTCAGATCTACACCAGTTACCCCAACGATCCTTGTGTCTTCTAATGTTGAAAAGGTTCCTATGCGTACACCTTATCCAGTAGCCTGACAGGGTGCTTCCAGGGCGCTTGGAAATTCTAAGATCATCCAAACATTTTTATCAGAGAGGCAGTGGAGAAGATATATTCAATCACAAGAGGTAAAGTCATCCACAACTCGTTCCTTGCAGATCTAAGGAACATTCAATATTAGTGTTTCCATTTAGCCTGTGCTCCCACCCATCTGGCAGGATATGCATTAGAAATTGCAGTTGATCTCAAAATACACAAAACACATTACACTAAATTAAAAATTATACCTGTCCATTGACAAAAGAGAGAGCAACATTTACAGAGATCAAACATGCGGGTCCTTTTTTCATTTTACAAATAAAATGAACATGATGTTCTCTAGCCTCATATTTACAGAAAGTATAAAATAGTGTGAACCTTCTTGATGCACAACTGAGATCATTAATATATGCAGTATGTTATGAATATTCATCCCCAGCACACTATGGTTTCTGGCATTGCTTCCACTTGTATTTGATGCATTCATTCCTTTCATGTTTTCCTACTTTAATATAGAGCGTGGTTGATTTATTTCCTAATCCATGTGAATGTGAACTTCCTCGGGCTGCTGCAAAACTTACGCTTTTGTAATTCTCCTACACACAGCAAGAGGCAAAGGGAAAAGTTTTTTATTCATTTGGTAATCTGTTTCTTTTCTTATTTTTGTTTTTTTTTCCTCAAATCTCAGCTTGGAAACCAGAAAGTAACTGCCCCTGTGATGGAGGTAAATGCTTCACAGACACACAGACAAACAGCAACAGAAGCTTCTCCACTGCCTCTTCCTTCTCCTGTGGTACCAGTTAACAGAACCTCTTTCTCACCAGACAGTGCCACCCATCTAGTGCCATATTCTTTGCCAACGCTTGACGATTTTTTGCCTTCACGCTTTTACAAAACCCCAGCCCTTTCACAGTTCTCTTACAAATGCCCGTTCCTAGCTCCCGAAAGCCTTATCCACAGGAACGAAACGGCCTCTGTGAGCACAGATTCTGCCATGAGCGAGTGCTCCTCCCGCACAGTGAGTGAGTCCTCCACGGCCATTCTAGATGAGCTGCAGACTTGTAGCTATGATACCACTGACTGCTCTGAGACACCTTCCCCAACCTTGAGCCAGATGTCTGCTGTGTCAGATGGCACCACCTTAACCAACACTGCTGCCACCTCTCATGTAATTATGCTTCCTTTTTTCCTCCTCCCTTTTTGTTCGAACAGGTTGTCAGAGGGGAAAAGAATTCAGAGTTGTCGTTATCCCCTTGCACAGACGAGTATCCCATTAGGAGTGTTCTGTGTTCACAGTCTGGTAGTGTGTTTTGCAACAGTTGTTTAAAAAAAAACCTATAGGTATAGCAGATTTGGTGATGGGAGTATGGTTCTAAGTTGTTGCACAATTGTATGGTCAGCTAAGGTCTATCAAACACTTTGCTTAAAATAAACCAAAAATAATTTCAAAAAAATATCTGTTCCAAATGCATTAAAAACAAGAAATCTGTAGAGTTTGAAGACATTTGTTTAAAATATCATTAGCCATATACAGCTTTGTGGAATTTGCAGCCTCTGGGCTACCAGACTTTTTGGTTTATACTGAGGTATAGATTTCAATAATGTAACTTCATAGTAAATGTTGGCAATGTTTAACGCAGTTTTTTCCCCAGCCATCACCACTGACTGCACGAAACTGTTTTTTCCCTCCTCTAACTAACCTTTTCCTCTCCTAAGCACAGTTTTTTTCCGGGAGTGAACTTCATAAATAATCTCACAGTACCCAAATGTCCTGTTACTTTTCTCTTGGTTAAGTCAAGGAAAAAAATAGCATGCAATTAGGCATTTTATACATACATTCACTTTTCTGTACCTTAATACACTCATATATTGGTAGAAAGAAGGTATGGAATTTGGGTCAAATTCCAATCACTTCTGGTTTCTTTTGAGATTATCTGCATGATTAAAATGAGTCAGAACAAAGCCTGCATTTAAATTGAGCAATTTGTTGCTGAATTAAAAAGCAGAGAGATGTTCTGAGACTAAAGTTTTACTGGGTCACAACAGCGTTCAAACTTTATACAAATACTTCACCATTTTCTTTTTAAGTCTGAGAATAACAAACAGTGTATATATTTTTAAAGTTTCATGTATATTTTTGTAAAAAGTATTTAGAGCCTAAACTTGCACATTGTCACCTGGAAAGTCAATGATCTGTTGTCAGTGCTCTGGATGCTGTTAAAATAATAATGTTAATAACAGGCATGGAAAAGCTGTAATTTCTAGCTCTTGTAACACAGCTCTGAAACCTATTAACCTTTTTTTTTTTTTTTAACAAAAAAGTCAGTACTATGAATCTGCATACAGCCCAGGAGTTGTAAGCAAAGATATCATAACCACTGTAGACTGGTACATAAATAAGGCTCAATCACTACATGACCATGCTATGGGAAGCATGGAACATTTATATTTTCTTCTAACCTACTTCTAAAATAATCAGTTAACTGTATTTGTTTTCTTTGAGCACCATTTTTGTAAGGTCTGTCCTTCCTTTCCTTTTTTGGGTAGTCTCCCTGTAGAGGGATATGTTATGGTCAAGAATGACCACCCCTTTCTCTCTTAGACACGGCAAGGATGAGCATAGCACTTGTTCATCATTGATGGACAGAGAAAGGATAAGTCTCCCACCAAAGGACAAAAATCCCCAAACAGTCCTAAAAGCCCCACAGTAATTAAACTGCTGGCAAGACCCACCTCTGCAGTGTAGAAAACTGTCTCCTACTCTCTATAGAGAAGGACCAGACAGATGATGGATGGGGCTTTGAGCAACCTGGTCTGGTGGGAGGTGTCCCTGCCCATGGCAGGAGTTTGGAACTAGATGATCTCTAAGGTCCCTTTCAACCCAAACCATTCTATGATACTATGACTATAAATGTGTCCATGAAATGAGAAAATGATGGGGAAGCTGGTGGCACACACATCTGTGCTGCTCTTGGCTCTACTTCTGTAATGATCTTCATTCCCAAAGGAGGCTCCTTATGGTTTTGTAGATGAAAACTGCTGAGAGAACAGTAAAAGTAATACTTGATGGTGCCATCCAGCACTGTGCCTGCATAAGACAGAACTCCAAAGACTTTATGTCCACGTTGGGGATATTTGTTTATTTTTGACATTCTTAATGAGAGCTTAGGGAAAAAGGTTTTACAGCAGATCTTCTGAGAATAAACAGCATGAGGAAGAGCTGAATCAACAAAATTGTAAAATATTCCAGGCAAAAGGCAGAGCTAAACATAAAACTGTGGTTAATTGGCCATACTTTTAGTCACAGATTACAGCTTCTTTGAAAACCTGAAGTATGAGAATTGTAATTCTAAATTGGGTTTATGCTCAGAATTGGAGTTAAAATCAGAGAACAGCTGGTTTTGGAAACTATTTTTTCTGATTCTATTCCAATTATGAACATGCCCCTTATAAAGTAATTTTCATGGGTTCTTTTTGTTTATGTAGTTTAAAATTGCAGAATCTAATGGAAACTTGGAAACGGAAGTACACATTAGATTTTTGCCTTTTCCCATGTTTCAGGACTGTCTCAAGCTTCAAGAATTGATTCTGAGTATTTTAACCTAATTTAGCATCTTGAGGCCAGGAGTGTACTGGGCAGGATTGTTGCATAAAACAGCTCAAATGTCTATGATGGGACCTCCCTCCCTTTGCTGTCCACCTCAGCAGAAGGTTAGGAAGCAGCTCCATCCCAAATAGATACTTTGCTCTTATTCAGAAGCCCAGAGAGCTGCTCTTTCCGATGCTCAGGCAAAGTAAAGGAACTTTAAAGCTTGTAGCTAGAAGGAATCTTGCAAGAGTTTGATTACCTGGCAGCAGCAGGAGGTGGCTCTGCCAGCAGTGGAGCACAGGTAAAGATACTGGAGAAAAAAATAAATGGAGGAGCCTAGGGAAACAAACAGCATGAAAGAGATGAGGATTATCTTCCCAGTAAACTGGGAAATAGGTGCATTTGGTGAAATAGTTATTTTCTGTAGCATCTCATTTTCCCACAAAGGAGATTACCTGGGAAAGTAAAAAGTCTAATTCACGAATAGGCATCTTAAAGATTTCACTTCCTTTTGAAACCTGGGAGCAAACTCTGTCACCTGGAACTAGAGCATCACATTGTCAGGCTGAAACGTCCAAATGCTCCCCAATGATTGAACTTGAAACTTTGCAAAACTATCTTTTATCGCTAGCCCTTCCACCAGTGCAAGATGCCTCAGATAAATAAATGCAATAGCCACCTTCATGGAAGCTTTCCTTCAAGAGAAAGTCATCAGGAACTAAGAAATTATAGCTGAAGTAAGAAGGGGCAAAGTTCTGGACATAGATGCACCCTGCCTTCCCTAGAAACAAGCTTTGCCCACAAGACACCCTGCAGGAAAAGAGAATGACTAAACCCCTGAAGTAGGGTAGAGATGGTTGGGCCACATCTAGGAACCTCATCTGAAAACATGGCTTCATACCACTCAAAATGCTATCTTTGTGGAGCTTTTGTATCCTTCCAGCTCCACATTCTTTTGGTTGGGAGGATGGTGTGAGAAAAGCCCAACTGAGTTTACATTTTGGTTCTTGACTTTATTAAGGGAGGAGATACTTAAACACAAGTTTGAATGGAGGCATCACTACAACACAGACTGTTCAGCTCAGTTCTGAAAAGAGGGGTCCTTGAAATGAGAAACCCCTGGATGCACCCAGGAGTTCACAGGATGCCTGAATTTGTTGTGGTCTCTTAGCTATTGGAGGCCAAGACATTAAAAATTTCAGATAAATCAGTAATCTCCACAATACAGATGCCTACAGACATTTAAATGCTTTTTAATAAGGTGGGTTTTTTTAACTTAGGCTTTGCTGCTTCAGATAGTCTCATGTTTTACATTCACAGTATGTTTTAGTTCTTTTCTTTTGCTATAAAAAATTGAGCAAAGTTTGTAGCACTCTGGATTTTGTTCAGATTTAAAGAAGAGTTTTGCATTAAAAGAGGTGTTAGAGAGGGCTTCCCTCCCTTCTCTGCTGAAATACTTGCTCCCCTCTCATTTCATTCAATGCTTTCTCAATATCTCTGATGTTTCAATCCTTGCAGTACTCCTTGTAAAAGGGCTACCGCCTGGATTCTAAACCCGGGGGCAGGAAAGCAGATTGTTTCAGAAGCACCTTCTGTGACTAAAGCCTAAATGGCTTGTGATGCTGCCGTACTGCCGGCGTACTTGGCTGTCCCGTTATATTTATTTGATTTTGTTCTGTTGTTTTATGGTTGTGAGGGTTTTTTATCAGAGCTGTTTATTTTTATTGCGATAGTTTACATATCGGCATCCCATAGGCACTCCAGCTGGCTTCCGTTTTTTAAAGAAGCTTTGCCTCACTCTTTTTAGCTGGCCTTAATGACACTTTGCCCTGAAGTTCCCTTTAATATCAGTAGGGTTTGAGCACGTGCATTAAGGGAATATGTCTCTTGGAGCGAGCCATCTGTGGCAGGCAGCCTTTGTCACACGAGAGGAACTTTTATTGTCATCTTTGTTGTATATGGCCCTTGACTGTGCCACAGGGCACAGGGCAACGAAACTAGTGAAGGGCCTGGAAGACAAATCATATGAAGAGCGGCTGAAGGAGCTGGGGCTGTTTAGTATGAGGAAGAGGAGGCTGAGGGGAGACCTCATCACTCTCTACAACTACTTGAAAGGACACTGTAGAGAGGTTGGTGCTGGTCTCTTCTCACAGGTAATTAACAATAGAACGAGAGGGAACGGCTTCAAGCTCCAACAGGGTAGGTTTAGATTGAACATTAGGAAGGAATTTTTCACTGAAAGAGTGGTCGGGCATTGGAATAGGCTGCCCAGGGAGGGGGTGGAGTCACCATCCCTGGATGTGTTTAAGGGACATGGTGTAGGGGAGGACTTTGTAGAGTAGGGTAGATGGTTGGACTCGATGATCCCAAGGGTCTCTTCCAACCTCAATGATTCTATGATTCTATGATCCTTGTTGCCTTGACCATGGTCTTTCCGTCATCTTCCCATGACTTCAGGACGTAGGAGGAGAGGAGGAGGGGGGAGGTATAAGGTATATAAGGAACACGTTCTGCCCCCCTTGTGATGAGTTTTGTATTTTCAGTGAACGCAGATGCCGTTATGGCCGGGTACCTGACAACCAGTAATTGTTGTGTGGATGGCAGTCTTGCGTCGCTCTGTTTGGGATGGCGGTCGGAGGGCTTTGTGTGTGGAGTTTAATGGGATATTGTTTTATTTCTCTCAGGCTCAGATCACAGTGAATGGGAACTCTGGCACCGCTGCCAGCCCAGTGAGTCACTTCCAAAGGCCTTTTTCCCCTTCTTCAGCTTACCCTCCACCAGCTTCGCTCAATTCCAACATTGTTATCATGCAGCATGGCAGGATGATGGGTAAGCCTCACACACAACGTTTGCTTTATACATTACGCAACATATTCCCATTCATGTGGCAAAGACTGCAAACAATTGCAGAGGGCTTCACAGCCATAATGAAGGTATTGTCTATTCATCTACCTTGGGGAGGAAATGCAAAAAGAAAAAAAAAAAGAAGCATTTATTGTTAGATACAGTAGTGATCCTGGAGTTGCTACGAAGTTTTATTACTTATGTGTGTGAGGGTGACCTCTTGTCACCTTCCTAGTAGCTTTACTGAGGAAAGAGCATATATCAGAACAGCTCAACCTGTGCAACCCCTTCAGATGTTGCCACCTTTAAGAAGCCAAGGGCCAACTTTGTACACTGGGTCTCCCCACAACTTCCTTAATCTTCTGGCAGTAGAAATACTGCCAGCAAAGGGCTGGCAGTTTAAAAGCTCTGGGCTTTTAAACACCTAAAGCCATGTCAATCTATTATTTCTTTATGCATTTTTTTGTAGGGCATTGTTAATTTTTTATTAAAAAACCCATGATCAGCCTTAGAAAGCTGCTTTGCCAGTATAATCCAGTTTTGCCAGAACAATTGTTAGCTCACTGCTTTTTGTGCCAGTGTTTTGCATATTCAGGTAAGACTATACATGCAAAATAATTTGAATGTGGTCCTGGAGTTTACTTTGTTATTATGCACGGAGGGAAATTAGGTGACAGTTCTCACTGTGAGACTTAAGAGATCAGGCAAATGCTGCTATCCCTATCATAGTGATAAACACGTATACATGGGTTGGGGAATGGGTTTGCGATGGGTTTCTCCACATCCCAAAATTCTAGATTCTTTGATGGCTTCCAGTTTGCTGATGTAAAGGCCTATCAATTCTGGTTTGTGTATACCTGAAATAATGTGCTTTCCCATGACTTTTGCTCTTGTATGATGCTGAAGTTCTGTGTTCCACAATAACAACCTGATTTAATTCTCTTTGCTTATGTAAAAATCCCACCAATGCCTTCAGTTTGAGCCTTATGAAGAATGAAGGATCAAATCCAAAATGTTTTCTAAATTTAACATCATGCATTTTGGGAAGAAGGCCCAAATATTCAGACGTTTGCCGTGCAGAGTTGCCCCTCGCCATATATGTGTAGCGCTGGATTATTTACAGGATTTCAAACTTGAGTAAACAGCTGAAAGAGGCACACCAAATCCATCTCTCTGCAGTAGGAATGAGCAAAAATATTCAAATTAAAATTAGATCCCTCAGTCACCAGAGCTCCTTTTGCTGATTTATATTACAATTCAAATATTTTGCCTCAGCAGAATCAACGGATGTTAATGTCACACAAAGGCAATTGTAATCTTTGCCAACAGTGTTAGAATATTTATATTTACTCCCTACATTCATTTTTCCTGCAGTGGAAATGTCTCACGAGCACTATACCTGCTCTTGCCAAAAATAAAAGATGCTTTGTCATAGCAGCCCACTAATTTACTGAAATGTGCTGCCTGAAGGAGAGGGGCTCTTTTTCCTGCTTGCACAAAAGAAGTAGATCATCGGCAGCAGTACAAATTTTCATGAGACATCCCAACAGAGTTATTTTAGAGGGAAATGGTAATAGTGACATATTAATTTAATTAACTATAAAGGAAGATTTGGGGAAGGTGGGTAAAATATTGCAAGTCACCACAAACCAGCAGCAGCCTGCACAGTTCACCTGAATATCGTAGGTGGATCATCAGAATTGCTCTACAGATGCCAAGTTACTGAGGTCCATTTTTGTGGATTATACATAGTGGTGCTTAAACATACCAACATAACTTTAAGGGACAACAGTTGTATTTTTTAAAATATATTAATGCATCAAAACTTACTGTTTCCAAACACATATCAGTGAAGTCTTTGTGGAGGGCTGTTTAGAACCTGTCGCTGTCCTTACAGAGCAGCAATTTTCTATAGTTTGCTAGATTTGGGGTGGGAGAAGCTTGAAATCATATCATTAGTTTCAAGGAATGGTGCAAGAGTTTGTTTGTGTAGTTGGGGTTTTTTTTTGTGAGCAAGATGCTGTGAAAAAGTACTTCTAATCTAAGAAGATCTGAGTTGAAGAGCCTGTCTGGCCCTTCAATAAGATTCTAATTCTGTTAATGTAACATTAAGTGTAGTTTCAAGGAAAGGTGCAAGAGTTTGATTTGTAGAAGGAAGGCTGCTGCCACTATTTTGCAATAGATTTTACTAGGTTTGTGGGTTGGGGTTTTTCTTTGTGAGCAAGATGCTGTGAAAAAGTACTTCTAGTCTAAGAAGATCTGAGTTGAAGATCCTGTCTGGTCCTTCAATGAGATTCTAATTCTGTTAATGTAACATTAAGTTGGACAAAATCCTAGCTAAGATGGAATTTTTTTTCAAAGTATTGTGTATGCATGTGGCTAAGATTGTTGTCTTTGTGCAGCATCATGAAATGAGGAAGCGTGTTATAACTGCCAAGTACGATTATTGTATCTTTATACAATATTCTGTCATGTTGTCTTTACAGAGTCCACAGAGACATACTCACAGCATGTTCAGACTGTTGGCAGCAGCACCACCACCAGTACAATACCAATCTGTAGGTCCTCAGAAGAAGAAAAAAAAATTACAGTCATTAAAGCTCCACATTATGCAGGGATTGGCCCGGTGGATGAATCTGGAATCCCTACAGCAATTAGAACGGTAGGAAATTCTGGGGAATTTGGGTATGAACTCGTACAATGAACTGATTGTTGGTAATGGGTTTTTCACATTCTTCTGGTCTTATATAATGTGGAATACAGTGTGCGTAATCAGCGAGCTCCTGAATATAATATTGTGTGTTGACGGAAAAGGAGAATGCTGATGGGAGCATAATTGGGCAACCTCATGTTTCTAGTTTTAATTAGAAGCAGCCAAAACTGTGTGTCTCTTTCTTGCTTCTCTTCTAGCTCTTGCCTTTCGGAGATAACGCAGTAATTGGATTTCTTTTATTATTTCTAAAATAAAGTTTGTATGTGCTATATATATGCATGCATGCAAGTATAGGTATATATATGTGTGTGTGTATAAAAAAGCCTCACACTTGTGCATTTTTAGGTGCAATGGCTGCATGCATGCAAGTATATGTATATATATGTGTGTGCGTATGTATAAAAAAACCTCACACTTGTGCATTTTTAGGTGCAATGGTTCTCGTGTCATCAGGGCAGTGCAGAAATGAATGGTTTTGTTGTGATAATGATGGAAGGGAGTGGGGTTTTGGTGGCAGCGCAGTATATAGTCGTTGTGCCCTGGAGTGACACGCGGAGGAGCGGGGTGGCAGCCCTTCCATTGTGCCTAGCCCCGCTTTTTTGATCATCTGCCACTAGTCCCTGCCCGAGCGGTCCCAGGATGTTGAACTGAGGAGTTTTGTTTTCACCATGCTGAAGCATTCTTTCCACTCCGCTGTCAGGGCAGCCTCTTCTGGCTGCTCCAGAGAGCACAGTGGCAGCTGCACTGGGTCCCTAAAGGGATTTCTCACTGGCCTTCCCAGCCAGAGAAGAAACGCTCTGCCAGACGGAGAAAAGAGTAAGAAGAGAGGGAGCCAGGATGAAAGCAGCAGAGCCCTTACAGGTGAATTCTTGGTGAGGTGGAAGGATGTAGGAGCTGTTGGATGTGTCCCCTCTGCCACTGCTGACATACGTGGCTGGGGTGTATTGCCAAGAGCTGCTTCGACGGATTGAAAAAATTAGGGGGGGAAATTGGGAATTGGTGGAGAAAAGCCATAGGAAAAATTCAGAATGAGTGGTAGGATTGGGGGACAATTTTGATAAGAAAGGGGGGAAGGTCTGGCATTTCTTGCTTTAGTTTTGACATAAAATGTAATATGCTCAGAATCTTTTATAAATTAATATTTTTCTTTGTAATAATGCTGGAGTTTCCTGCCCCCTTTTTAAGTAAATATGTGCCTGTGCTTTGTATAAGATAATTATTTTTGCTCTTTTTTTCTTAATGGCAGACTGATTTAATACGATGCATATCGGTAATACAAGATTATAACAGAAATCCCCCTCAAGTGTGCTAAACAGAGTGGGCAATCTGCCAGCCTATATTTAACTTTCTGATCGTGTGGTCTGAGTCTCTCAGATTTTCACCTAGAAACGTAAAGTAACTTGAATAGGAAGTTTTCCAGCTGGATTTGCTCTGGGTTGGGTTTGTGTTTCAGTTTCAAAATATCTTCTGTCTTGTAAACTTCATGTTATAGAAACTATCCTCACAATGAGATAGGAGTTAAAAGATGATGCTCTGTGTGTGTGTGTGTTGTGTGTCTCGTGTCCCACTTCGTGTCCTTATTCTGCTTCTTAGGACTTAGCTGGAAATGGGATTGTTTTCAAGATATTGATCTGTAATGAGATTACATTTTAAATGTGCACGAGTGTATCTGAGCCCTGTGTACTCCCAGTTGCCAAAGAGCAAAGGTGATAGAGTTGTCAGCAAAAGGCTTGAATGCGCTGCACCTTGGCACCTCTTAGAAGTGCATTTCTGTGAAGAAACATGCAAAAATGGTACAACTCCATTTTCCATGGAGAGTAGAAGGTAGGACATGTCACTCACTCTTTCTCCAAGGGCAGTGAGCAATCCAAATAGGCATCTTCTCCCAGAAAGTTCCACCTCCCTCCAGCCGGAGAGATAAAGAAGTTTTCAAATTAGTTGAATTTATCATTGCCTGCAAAGTTAAAAGTTTCTTATTCTTCCATCTGTATGAAAATGGCAAGTCTGTCAAAAAAAGCAGGAAATGCAGATTCACGGGTGATAGGCAACATACACACTGTGTTCTGAAACACTTTGCTACTCAAAGGTAAGCTTTAAGATGAGAATTTGGGAGTGTCTGTATTCCAGATTTGGAGTCCTTTTCAGGGGTAGAGAGATTTTTCAAGCTGTGGTTAACTCCTCCGAGCCCGTCCTTACTCTCTGAACGTGGTTTGTGCCAGCAGTTTAGCCAAGGAAAGCAGAGCCGTGTTCCTCTTCTCTTTCTGTTCCTGCAAACTCTCTCTGTCCAAAGCTGCCAAGAGGGGAAGGATTCCAGTAAAGCTTTCCCTTCTCTCGGAACCTCCATCCCATGTCAGCGTGTTCCCTCCATACCATTGAGCTCCTGCCAGCCCCGGGAAGTGCAAGTCTGAAGCCTGAAAACTCAGATCATTGTTAAGTTCTGCCACCATGCCAAGCCCTGCCCCAAAGACGGGGAAATTCCAAGGCATTACAAGTGAAGCCTCTGGAAAAGAGAGGGTAAAAATGCTGTTCACTCAGAAAAGCTTTCAGTCAAACGGCACCGCCAGAGGTTACCACCGACAGGGTCCTACGAAAGGCAAAAGACAGATTCATGGAAAACAGTGTGACTGCACTGTTTGAGACCATTCAAAATGATTGCTTCGTGTCTAACTAGCAAAATTAATCTGTAGACTGAAAAGGCCTCTATTTACTAAGAATGAAAAAAAAAAAAAAAAAGAAAAAAAAATCAACTCCCACCAGTTCTCTTTCCCGTACTTAGTGATGTAATACTTCAGCTGGAAATAAACCAACACAGAAGGTCCACTGAAAGTCATAAATGCCTCCTTTAATTCCACACTTTCTGATGGATTATTAGAATACTGCAGTGATTGTGGACTTCCCTGAGTACCAACTGCAGATACTGATAATATGCTCTTCACACTATTTGGCTGATTGTTCATTGACATATGAGGATATCATGTTCCAGCATTTAATTGCAACAACTTTAATGTATGCAAAGCAGGGTGGCATCTGAATGGCTTGGTGCATGGTCAGCGCTGCTAATTCCTCAAACAAATGTTGGCGTGTGGGATCAGTGAATATAAATTGAGAAAATATATTTTTAAATTTATTTAATCTATTCATTAGCTAATCCTATCTGGCTTGTAATGTAAAGCCAAATTATTGGCTGAGGCTTTAAAGCCCAGGATGGGGGTTGAGGGGCAGATGATGAGAGAAAAACATTCAAATGTCCATAAAGATGTCAGGACACCTTCTTCTCTGGTCACCTGGAAGCTTCTCCACACCTGATCTCTGTGTGGAAGCTTCCTTTGATTTCACTGAATTTCACTGAATTTCTAGAGTTGGAAGGGACCATAGAGATCATCTAGTCCAACTCCCAATTTGTGGAGGACCTGATTGATAAGAGGATCCAGCAAAGAGATACTTAATGCACCTTTGTTCCTTGACAAACAGTAGGGTCCAGTCTATTCACCTGTCACAGATTTGAGCTCTGTTGGAAGACTCTTCTTGGCCCAATACAACTAGAAAGGCAGTTTCAGTATCATGGGACCATTGCAGGTTTGTATTGCTCTGGGAAGTGAGGAGCAACCGTGGAGGTTATGCCCATCAGCATGAATCCCTTCAGATCTTCTGGACTTCCTTGTAAACTTTTGAACATACATGATCCTGGAGCACCAAACAGTATACTTTTTTCAAATCCAGCTAAATTTTTCTTACCAGAGTTCCACTAGTAGAGGTGTTTAATACTTCTAGGGCAACAGCATTAAATGGTCCAAATCTGCTTCTGAATATCTTCTCTTTGGCAGAAATCAGGAATGTTGGTAGGTGGGGGAAGGACCTGATCTTGATACAAAACTATATCCCCTTCATCTCTTGCAAGCAGGTCTGGGTAGAAAGCATAACCTGCCCCTTAAATTTCCTTCTTCCTCAGCAGATCCCTGAGTTTTTCAGTTGAGTGTGAGCTATTCTTTTAAACAATGTGGTTTTTTAAAATGTGGTTTAGTAGCCATTTTGTGAGAACTCATATTGATTCCTCAAAGTATGAGAGCATTTTCAGCTTAGTCCCTTATAGTGAGAGCTCACCATCGTTAATAAAACAGATTAATTATGTTCAGTAACTGTAATAAGTATTTAGGGCAAAAGCATGATTCATTCAAGGTGGCACGGAGCCAGGTGAGCGCACTCAGATCTGTCAGTTATTTTGTAGAGAAGAATTTGTGGATTTTCACTTTTCATGGTAAAAGGAGTGGGCAGAGTGATTGCAGATTTAGTATTAGCTAATGCAAGATATTGTACATCAAGAGGGGTCTTTTGCATGAAAATAATTTTGGTAGATCTGCATTAAAACTTTCGCTTTTCTGACTGCTGTGGAACAAGTAATATTTTAGGACCTAAGAATAATAATACTCAAAGCATGTTTGCCTCTGTGTTATCTCCTTTTTTGAAATATTATCATAATATCTCAGAGAACATTGCAACAAAAGAGAAAATGCAGAAGGGTAAAAGAGAAAAATAATAAGAAGCACCAGCAAATGTTGATATGAGGAGAGTTTGGGAACTTTAGGATTGCTTAGTTTACAAAAGTAAGGATAAGTATAATTTAATGAGTGGTTGTTGAAAGGTATATTGTATTCGCTTTTCTCAAAATAGAAAAGTAAGTTAAAATTAAGTTGCCTGGGAAGGGAATTTGAAACTGATAAGATGACCTATTGTTTGTTTACAATCCAAACATTAACTCTTAATTATAGTGTTGTCTTAGTTCTTTTCTCAGTAGCATTCCAAAGTTTTTCTGCATTATTTAAGTTACATTTTGAAGATAATTTATGTTGGAAATCGCCTGTAAGTCCAAAAGAAGCTCTTTTTACACCCTTGTAATGGCTGAGGTGCTTGTATTTTGGCATTGTAAAGCTTGTAAAGTATCTAGCATTCGTCATTGTCAAATACAGGGCACTAAGAAGATAAACTCTTGATCTGGCACTAATTATTCTGTTCCTCACCATTGTACCCTCCAAGATCAGAGTCCAAAAATGATTTGGTCTTCTGCGTCTTGCAGAACTTGTTACAGGAATTCCTAGATGGAAAGCTTAAATACACCATTTGAAATAGATGGTATGAAAATGATTATATTAAAAAGGGGGCAAAACATAACAGACTTCTTGTCCAGAATAACATTGAATCTCTGATCAGATCTGTACACGCGGGTATTTTTCTTTTTTTGTTAATTGTCAAAAACTGTATTTTATTCAGACAGTTGACAGGCCGAAGGATTGGTACAAGACAATGTTCAAGCAGATCCATATGGTTCACAAACCTGGTACGTACACTTTTCTCTTGGCTGGTACATACCAGTGGCTTTAATACCACTTGGTTCTCAGTGGTATTAAAAATGCATTTTTCTGTGTTTTAATTGTCTACTATGTGAAAATATAAGTGTTCACCAAGTGTTAGATAATGAATCAAATCAAATGGGTAAATTGGATGATAGATTTTACTCCAGAGAGACACGTTTTTCTCTACTGGATTTATTTTATTACTAAAGCTAAATAAAAATTAAAGTGATGAGAGCAGGTATGCAACCAGTATGATTCCATGTCACTGGGGAGCTCAGTGAAGTGATGCTCATCTCCAGTTTGAGGGATGAGAAATTGGCTGCTGTAAACCTCCTATGATACCAGCTTTCTGATGGAGAGCTCACGTGTCAGAATAGCATGGGCAAGTGAACAGCCTGGTTTGAGGATACATTTGCTGCCTGAACTGTATTTTTTTCATATAATGTCTTATTTGATTTTGCTGAACTGGAGCTTTGGTGACATTCCTAGCTTTAGAGTTAACGTCCTTTATCATGATAATCACCAAGGATGTCAAGAAACTCTATAAAGGGCAATTATCCTTGTTACACCTCTGGAAGGGAGGAGGCTTTATTCGGCTGAGGTAGAGCTTGCGCTTAATGTGCTCATACAGAATTAGTGGGAGAAAAAAGAATGTAAGCAGGAAAATTTTTGTGTACAAGATCTGTTTTGAACACTAGTCACATAGTAGATACTTGAGGTTGCTCTTTTTGATAAGAACAACAACATAATAGTATCTATTAAAGGAGAGCTCACAAAAGGAAGAAATTGAGCTTGGGGTAGGGAGAAGAACAGACAAAAAGGTATAATTTCCAATTTGGCACAACCACTAAGAACACAATATGGGTGACCTGATAAGATACCGTTTTACCAATAAGGTGGTAAAAATAGCCCATGGTAAGTCTAATGGGAAAAGAGAGTCTTCAGAAAACACCTGTGAGATGAGGGAAAGAAATACAGCGCTTTTTGCCTACCAGTCTCCTGTTTGTCTTTGCAAAGCCAAAGCTGCGTCGCTGTGATAAACTGGCCCGGATTGCACTGCTGTAACACGTCTGTTTCTTTTTGTAGATGACGCCACAGACATGTATAATACTGCATATGCATACGGTACTGGTAGGAATTATTCCCTCACTTCCAAATGAGTCTTTTGTTAATGTCAGCAAGTAACAAGGGGTAGTTTGCCTGCTTCGATAATGCTTATATAAACACTTTTTATTGTCTTGTTGGATCTCAGTTGGTGTTTTTTCATGCCTTTTTTCCCAAATGAAACAAAGTTTAATTTTGGTTTCATTCTTACCGCAGAAATGAATTGCAGCTGTGGGTCTCTCACTGCAGCTGGGAAATATTGTGGTGCTGTGGGTTCTGAGTTAGTTTGGCTAGTGATTGTGAATAACGCAGCCTTTCCTTAGCCACACGAAAAGGGGACTACTCTGTGAAAGCACACAGTGCTGTGTGACAGTACAAATGCTAATTGCGTAGGTGGGGAGACAAAAAAACACCTGAAAACACCTTTTTTAAAACAGGCAGTAAGAGTGCCCAGTAATGATGACTCTGTTTTATGTTCTCATTCAATTTTGCTCTAGGCACTGGTGTGGGTGTTATTCAGCTGCAAGAAACATGTTCATCTCATAGATAAATAATTGTGTCTTTCAGAAGGTTATAACCACGTGATAAAATTATTTAAAAGAACAAAAGTGAAAGTGTGAAGTGGCAGTGTTTTTTATTAAAAAAACAAAACACAGTGCCTTGTGCAAAAAATGCCATTCAAAATTGTTCCATGTCAGCGTTTGTTGCACAGGACACGCTGCCTGTTTGTGTGCTGCTGAGAGCATTTGTTGGGGGTCAGTTGTTTGAGACCTGTTTGGACTCTTGTGATCCTCTTCAACACACACTATTGCCTTGGTGTCCTAGATTAATAGTAATTATTAAAACAATGGGGAAAAAAAGTGCATTTCCTGCCTCTTCTTTTCCTTCTGAACATAGAACCACTGAGAGGCAGGACAAGCCTGGGGACTAATAACAAACTATCATTAAGAGCTCTGATGGATTCACACAGCCATTAACTTCTCCCTGCCTCAAATTAATCATTAATTTATTTAACTATACTGCACTTTATCTGTGTGTTTGTGGTTTGATATAAAAATATATAAAAATTATTCCAATGAGCTCCATAGCGTACAGCAACGTGCATTTAAAAATGCATTTGCATGTTTTTGTAACCTTGCAGCTTTATTGATGATCTGTGGGTTCTTGTAGCGTTCCGTGTTGTGTTTTATTTAAACTCACCCTCATGCTGTGACTGTTTCTGGTTTTGTTTTATGTTAGGTAGCTACAGCCCATCCTTCTCTGCTCAGGCACACCCGGCGGCAAAGACGCAGACGTACAGGCCGTTGTCTAAAAGCGCTTCTGACAGCAGCTCCGATGCCTTCAAGGTCTCGTCCCCTTTACCACCTCCACATGTGCCACCTCCGGTCCCACCGCATCGTCTGAGGGAACGGTCTATACCAGAAAAGTAAGTTAACATACTTTCAAAAAGTGTTCTTAACCCCATGCTGCCAGTACAGGTTGGGGACTGGCCTGCTGGAGAGCAGCTCTGTGGAAAAAGACCTGGGAGGCCTGGTGGACAACAGGATGACCATGAGTCAGCAATGTGCCCTTGTGGCCAAGAAGGCCAATGGCATCCTGTGGTGCATCAATAAGACTGTGACCAGCAGGTTGAGGGAGGGTATCCTCCCCCTCTGTTCTGCCCTGGTGAGGCCCCACCTGGAGTACTGTGTCCAGTTCTGGGCTCCCCAGTTCAAGAAGGACAGGGAACTGCTGGAGAGGGTACAGAAAAGGGCCACAAAGATGATTAGATGATGTTAATATAATTAACAGAATTATATTAAGCAGTTTCAAATAATTTGTCATTTGCATAAAATATGAGAAAAGAGCATGCTAAGTGTTTAAAATTAAGACCATGACTATGGCTTTTTAAAAACTTTGTGGGTAGTGGCAATCCAGAAGGTAATTCAGGAGACACAGGTATTGCAGAGGAAAATGGGATTGCTCCGTGGTTACCGATTTGGGCTACTCTGGTGCTGAGGGCAGGTTGCCAGGGGCTAGCATTGGGCTGCCTCCCAAAGGTCTGAATTTTGTTTAGCAAGTCACACGGAAACGTAAATTTTGTTCTCAAGGCACCAAAATGTGGATCTGCTTGGCTTTGATCTCTGAAGCTCTGCGAGTCGTGGGCCTGTGCTGGGCCAAACGCCTCGGTCGCAGAGGCTGAGGCCTGTGTTACGGTTCCTTTTGTCAAGCTTGGAAATAACTGAATTTGGCTGTTCAGCCTCTCCTTTTAATCCTCCTGCACGATAAGACAGGCAGGGAAAATCTATGTTCTCCGGGCCAGGGGATGCCAAACACGTTAGTTATGCTTTGCCTGCTGCTGACAGCTATAGCTTGTCAATCTTTTCCTGCCATTGGGAGAGTCTTTTTTTAATTGCCTATAAAGCCCGAGTATTTAAAATCTCACATAAGAGGCTTAGGTCCACATGTATCACAGTTTTATAGCTGGGAGGCAAGATACGGTTTGCATTAACATAGTCCATAAGGGATTACAGGCTAAACAATGTAAATTAAGTGAACTGAGGGCAAATCAGAATTTCAGCAGCATCTTTTTTTTTTCTTCAGTGACTTGCAGCATAATGCAACTTGATCAGAACACTTCCATTTTCCTGTTCGTTCACAAAAAATACAGCCTTTTCTGCTCTGAAACTAATTTTTTCCTTCGGTGAAAATAAACAATAGAGAACTACTTCCCTTGAAATGTAGGGCATTTTATAAAAAGTGGTGTCTGTGTGCCAGAAATTGCACTCACAAACACACTCTAAATAAAAGCTTCCCCATAGATTTTTTTTTTTTTTAATGCATGTGACATGTACCTTATGATGTCAGGTCACATCAAAGTCACATCAAAAAGCCAGATAGGACTGATAGAATTTAATCTCCGTGTGCTCTTTCATATTGTAAATACAGACAATAGAAGCTAGGATTTCCCCTTTCTTTTCCTCCATTCTTTGAGTTCCTAGGGGGTCATTTTACACAGAGCTAAATAAAAAGATGGGTGAGTTACAGTTTTTCAAAAACCGTGTGAGTCATGACTACAGAAACTGCCATGAAAAGGTAACTCTCACTGTGACGGTAACTAGCTAATATCCCCCCAAAATGTGTAGGTGGCTACTAATATAACATGGCAAATTACTGAAAAAATAGAGTAGTAGGGGTTACTTTTTATCCTTTGCGTAGCACTACTAAATTGAAAGCAAATTTATAATTTTAGAAAAAAGGGATACATTTCTGACCCAAATACAACCGCCAAATTCTTGGTTTTGTTTATCTACTCAGATTTCCAAGGAAATAGTATAGTGCTTACAAGGATATTCAGGAGCAATTCTACTACAAATCAGGATAAAGAGCATCTATTATATTTTTATGCTGCCTTTTAAAAATTTCCTTATTTTTTGTCTCAGAAAATTCTGTAACTATTTCAGTAGGGACTTACTATGGTATTGTATGATGACAAGAATATCTACTACTTGTCTGCATTATTATAGTGCATTAAAAAGTACAGGGAATTTGCAGTTTGAGAAGGCACATCATGGTGTGTTGACACAGTATGTCAGGGAAGTTTTTAACCTGGTCTGTGAGTTGTAACAAAAGAGTGAGTGACCACACAGGCTGGACATCCCTGGTATTTTTCCTGCGGTGAACAGGTTAATGATAGAATCATAGAATAGTTTGGGTTGGAAGGGATCTTTAAGGGCCATCTAGTCCAAACCCCCTGCCGTGAGCAGGGACATCTTCATCTAGATCAGGTTGCTCAGAGCCCCGTCCAACCTGACCTGGAATGTGTTCTTCTGTGGTGTCCCCAGAGCTGGACATAGTACTCCAGGTGGGGTGTCACCAGAGCAGAGGGGCAGAATCCCCCCCTGGCCCTGCTGGCCCTGCTGCTGGGGATGCAGCCCCGGGTGCGGGGAGCTTTCTGGGCTGTGAGCACACGTTGTTGGGTCATGTCTAGCTTCTCACCCACCAGCATCCCCAAGTCCTTCTCAGCATCTGCTCTCCATCCCTCCATTCCCAGCCTGTGCTGATTCCAGGGCTTGCCCCCACCCAGGGGCAGGATGCTGCACTTGGCCTTGTTGAAATGAGCTTCACATGGGCCCAACTTCTCCAGCCTGTCCAGGTCCCTCTGGATGGCCTCCTGTCCCTCAGGCCTGTCACCGCACCACTCCACTGGGTGTCATCCACAAACTTGCTGAGGGTGCACTCGGTTAAGATGATACAGTGGTTCAAACCCTGGGATGCCAGGCCAGATATAAGAGAAACCAGCCTGAAATTCATTTGTGTTTGTGTGTTTTTCATGCACAGAGCTGTAAGGCAGATGGCGGTGACAGTAAATTAACTCAAATTGCTCATGTTTGTTATTTAGAAATGACTGGGACCCCCCTGACAGAAAGGTGGATACCCGCAAGTTCCGCTCTGAACCAAGAAGTATTTTTGAATATGAGCCTGGAAAGTCATCAATCCTTGAACATGAGAGACCGGTAAGACACACAAGTGACATGGGTAATACAGTAAAGAGGTTTGGTGAGAGCTCATCTTTTTATTATTTACTACTGATTATAACTGCTTAGATGAGTTTTGAAGATCCTTTTCCAAATACGATTTTGCAGCAATTCATCTTTGCTCTTTCCTGATGGTTGTGTTGAAAATGTGAGTTTGGCTTTTCTGCTAAACTTAGCTCTTCTGGTATTTCCAAGAAATCAAACCACCACTCTGCAAACCTAATGGATGATGAGCAGAACTGTGAATTAATGGAACTGCTTTTTCTAATTGGCACACATCTCCAGCACTCATTTTCAGCACTATTAACAGCACATATGGTATCTGATTAATTAATGCATAAAAATAAACTATTTGTATTTTCAAGATGTGCCTAATAGACTTCAGGAGATTTTGGACAAATACTAGTCAGGGTTGCACGGAGAGGCTGTGGAATCTCCTTTCTGGAGGTGTTCAGGACTCACCTGGACACAGTCCTGAGCAACCTGGTTAGACCCACTTTTAGCAGGAGGTTGGACTAGGTGACCTCTAGATGTCCTTTCCAGCCTCAATTACTCTGCAATTACCGAGTGTACATTAATGTGTAATTAGAAGTCTTTATTCCTGCTTTCTGAATAACGATTGCAATTGTGGATTTTTTCACAAGCATGTCTGATAAAGCCACACTTAATGCATGAAAAATGACCACTAACGAGAGTTTTCATTTGCTGAAAGACACATTCCCCCAGCCTTTTTAATTTACCTTTGTGCTACCTCAATATTTTCTTATTTCAGGAAAATTGCTATGGCAATATTGGCAGTATTTTCTTTTCTTAGGCTTTTACTTTGAGGTTGAAATGGCTGAGGGAGTCTAGTTTAAAAGAGGGGTTTATGTAATCGATACTGGATTATTATTTGCTTCTGTATTACGTGCATGTTCACATAATTTATTTTACTAATTTAAAATAAATTAAGCAAATAATTGAATTCCAGAACACGTAGTATGTCGACAGTGTGAAACACCTTGACTGAGCACCTTTCCCTGGTGTTTTAGTGGTCTTTGCAGGAATATAATTTTGGTTAGCTAGAAAATACTAAACTGTTTCTGTGAAATTAAATTCTTGCAGAACTGATGCATTTTTCAAAGAGGAAATTGGCGTATCTAGATGAACTGCAAATAAATCAATGCCATAAATGGGTTTTAGTATTTATTGTGGAGCTGAACTTGTGAAATAATTTTATTTAAAAGGTGATGGCATTTGTTCTGAGCTTTTTTGATTGCCAGGGCTGCATTATACACACTGAGGTCATTTACCAGCCTTCCCAATGCCCAAGAATAACAGTAGATTCAAGTTAAAAGTAATAAAATTAGAGTGATGTTTCAAGAATGGCCTCACTTTTCTAATAAATTACATTTTCTACTGTCATATGGGAAAAAAAATCATAGAGGAATTGCAGTGCTGATGAATATGATCGTAGATCCAATTTTTCTAATTTAGGAAACTAATGAAAATATTTAAAAAGTGACCTTGCTGACTGTTTGAACCTGATTTTTTTGTTGTTTAACTTGCTTATGCATTTTATTTTTTTGTTCTCAATCAAGATTTTGAGCTTTGTTTGGTCCTTAAAATATTATCAACCAGAAAAGCCTTAGTCACGTTGTACTTACTGAGCACTATCAGTCAAGGGCAAGGTCACACTTTTATCATCTAAAGCCTGGGCTAGAAGTTTATATTTAGATGTAAATAGAAGGAAACATCTCTTCATAGAATAAATTTTAAAAGCTGAGGCAAATATACTCAGGGACAGAATGGAGAGGGGTTTTGTTTATTTATAATTCAGAGCTGTAGAAGACTGGATAACAGGAATTAATGTAGCGTACAAGATATGGAAGTTGTGCTCACACTAGTGTAATGTTACTAACTGATATAAAAATAGTTGGAGTAAACTATCACAGTTTTATCATGGGGAATTTCTGCTGTTGATAAAGATGGTGGTTAGCTTTATTTGGACCATGTTACAAAAAGACTTGGTTTCACTTAAAGCTTTTGCTATCCTTGTGTCCATTGGACGGGATATGGGAAGTACAACTCAGAACTTCTTAAATGATGGTCACTGGAGTAGGTTAATAGATTTTTCTGTGTGTCCAGGAAAAACTGACATCTGAAAAATACTGTATTAGTTGCAAAGTCAGATGAAAAATCCAAATGCTCATTTGTGTCAGTATTGCACGAGTTAAGTCTTTCATCTTGATAATCTCAAAAGATTTGATTTTTAATGCCTAAAAAATTGTTCTAATGATACCAAAAGAAAATATTAATCAAAATATGGAAATTAAAAATAAATAGTTTATTTATTTTGTAAAAGACGGGCATTTATAACATCTGAACTAGATTGTTAAAACCAAAAAAGTTAAAGGGAGTTTTTCCAGCACTCCAAATCTTAAATTTTTTTTGCTGAAAGATATCATTTTCATGGCTACAGGATTGCAGTGATGATGGCAAAATGATCTGAAAAAAAAAAGAAAAAGAATATTTACAACTGCCTTTTATGATAATAAACAGGAGAGATGAGGTTTGAAAGAGATTTCCCATTATTGATGTAGATACAACATTGGAGTCAGTTCTCATTAATGTGGAAATTAGAAACATGGGAAGCATATAATAAAATGAGATTCAACGTAAAACTAACATTTAATGGGAAATACTATTCAGCAGATCCTTATTCAGTAGATCAAAAGGCTGTAAGAAATAATAAACCTTGAAAAAATAACCTAGTAATAAACTTTACATGGATAGATTGGCTAGGGATAGATTATTATCTTTGTGAGGGATATAAAAAGATAAGTGTAATTTCAAGCTGCAGTATCATGTAGCAGCCCTCGTCACGAAACAGGAAATTAATGTCTTTTCTTCTGTAATTTGAACTTGTAAGGGTATAAAACATCAACAAAAAGGAGGGGCTTGGGGTTGGTGCTTTGAGGTTACAAGTGACGTGGAGCTGTTGAATGGTGTCCCAAGCAGTGACGTGGCAGCTGCTCTTTTCCCATTTCAATAAGCCCGTGACCACCATCTAAGGTGCTACATAAGTTGTTCTGAGGAAGGTTTCCATCTCCAGTGCCTGCAATTCAATAAAACCCTCTTCTTTTTCTCTAATGTCATCGGAACCATGGATTTGTTTCCTAAAATGGGTGTACTTTCAGTAAATAAGTAAATTGCAGTTAAACCATTGATTTGTTTCCTAAAATGGGTGTGTACTTTCAGTAAATAAGTAAATTGCAGCGGAATAATTTAATCCCACTCATATGGATATGAAGTTAAATTTTTATTCTTTACTAGCTTGTACCTTGTGTACACAAAGTACTTCCTTCATACATGTGCATTTCTCTTTTTCTGCAGTAATGCAAGTAAGGAAAAATCCTGGTCTTACTGTAAAGAAAGACTTTGTAAAATTGGGACAAGTAGTAGATCCTTTTATTTTCATTATGTGTTTTAGACTAAGCATGAAGGTACACAGGTACTAGTCAGATGAAACTGTCAAGTTAAATTCTACTTCTAGATTATTATTTTTTTTGTTCCATATACAAATTTTCTTCTGATTTTATATGCAGGAGGATTTCATGATCAGAATAAATTAAAGAAACATTACTTTTTTGTCAAATAGCAGAAGCAGACTGGGCTTGCACCATCATGTGCATCTGTTGTTTGTTGGCATTTTGTGGTTTTTTTCTTAGTGTAGTGGAAAATTTGAAGTTTTCTTTAGAATATGCAAGTTTGATCACCTTTGACATCTCAAGCTGGTTATCAGAATATTCTACTGGGTGTTAGTTGAGTTACTTGAGGAACATTTTGCCAACTAAAAGAAAAAAAATTCTTAGCGTGTTTTAAGATGAAATCAGGAATTCCACACAGAGGTAAGTTTTGATATGACATGAAAAAATAAGTCATAAAGATATGGAGAGACTAGTGGTGAAATTGGTGTTACAGCAGCTATTTAAATGTAGGGAAAAATTAAAAACGAAAAGAAAAAGCAAACTTCTTTAGAGCTGATAAAATGCCAAAGCCAGCCAGGCAACAAACATCTCAGTCCATTGTTCCAAAGAGCCTTCGCTAAGGTGTCTGGACTTGCAAATGCAAAATTTGCAATATTTGACCACGCAGATCATATAAAAACCATTTTACCCACTGGTATAAATGCACAGTTTTGATTTCTAGCTGTGAATGTCTCCCTGTGTAGAGAAGAGTCTCCCTTCATCCCGTCAGGCACAGGCAAAGCTGCGTGCTGCACTACAGATGTATTTTTTTAAAACTGCATCAGAGTTTTGTAGTTGAGCACGTGGATCAGCGCTGTGGTGACCCTCTGATGCAAACAGCAAAAGGAGTGAAGACACTCACTGCTCTTCAGCAGGGTATTCTCAACAAATAACCAAAATGTTGCTGAATGACTAGATTGAGTATAAGAACGTGATTTGCTTCGACTGACAAGTCATAAAAAGGGAATTTACCTTCTTATTGCTTTTATCCTCTGTTCACGCAGTTTGGGAGATACTTTGTGAAACCAAGCCAAAATCAGGGTTTTTTTTTTTTAAGTCAAAGTGATTTGTTCATTTGAAGTCTCTTAGAAGGGGAGAGAATAGAAAAAGGTCCATCAGCAAAATTGGATCTGAAAGCCAAGCAAAATGGATTGCTGTGTATTGATCTGGGGAGCCCAGGGAATGTCCTCCCTGAACTGCCCGGCAGCAGCCAATTCACAGCCTTCAGTGCCCGGTTTCTTTTAGTTTGCTGCCCTCTGCGGTTCAGGCTGTAAATAAAGGCAGGGCTTGGGCACAGGGACTTTAACATCCCTCCTTATGCTCTCCTTTCCTTTGCACGCTACTGCACGAGGAGAACTCAAAAACTTAGAAACCAGATAAAATATACTATTTCTAGCTTTTTCTTTACAAGCAGAAATTCAGGGGTTTTTAAGCTTTCAGCTAATTGCAAGAGGATTTGAAGAGAAAAGT